TTCAAAATAGTGCATCTGAATTACTCATTTCGGATCTGATAAAATAAACAACAGCATTACTGGTGTGTTGTTGTTGTTGTTAGTGATGGCAGTACTGGTAGCGGTAATTACAGTGGGGGCTCAACAGTTCACTAAGATTGTTTGAATGTTAGAGATTTCAAATTTTTAGGAAGCTGAAAATCATTGTTTGTTTATAATGGTCGCCCCCTCCTCGAAAAAATGAATCCATTTTTCACAAGGGTTTGTTAGAATTTTAAGTAATTGCAGTGCCTCTTTGTTGTGGGTAAAATAACTGAACTACTGAAAAACTGATTTGGAACCCTTTTTTTAGAATATTTAGTATTTTAAGTATTAGTATAATATTGTTAAATACACAGCTGTGTTTAAAGATACATTGGCTTTCATTTGACATAAAAATGTAAAAAGTTTGTTCATGAACTTTAAGTTCAAATATAGACACAAAAAGCCCCCTACACCAGAATTGTAGAACTTAAAAATGAACATTTATATTACATGATTATTCAATTAAATAACTTAGAAAAATTATCTAATACTTAAATAAAATCAAAATTTATATTGTGGGCTCCAAAGCACTTACTACTAGATCCAAATGGAGAAAACATTGGGTCTTGGCCCATCGATGGACCACTGTATCGATCAAACGAATCCAGCGAGTTTTTCTTTCTTGGCTCAGCAAAAACAGCTTTATATGTACGATCACAATTTTCAAATGCCTTTGCAGCATGGGAAATCCTGAAATTTACATTTTTTAAAATCATTATTCTGCTCTTTAGTAAGAACATATTACTTAATGGTAACTTATTTAAATAATTAATTTAATCACAAAATATCAGCAGCATCACTTGTTCTCCATTGATTTCAAGAATAGGAAAAAACACAATTTTTCTATTAAGTATATAATGTAATTAAGTCTCAAGCCATGAAAGTCATAATATTATTCTATAATATAAAATAATAAACATTACTCTTTAAATCAAATGCACACCTAAAACGATCAGTGAATTAAAATCAACTTACTTGTGATATTTTACATATGCAAATCCTCTGCTTTCTTTTGTTTCCCGATCCTTCACCACGGAAACATAATCTATATCTCCAAATTGTTTAAAATGATCTCTTAACATCTGATCAGTTGTTGTTTTGGGAACAACACAAAATAAACGTAGCAACCTCTCTTCTTCATTGGATTCTCTTTTGGATCCTTGGTCTCGGCTAAAAGAAAATATAAAATAGTAATAATAATAATAATAATAATAATAATAATAATAATAATAATAAAATGAATTACAAGAAAGCAGAGCAAAACTAATATTTCTGTTTCAAGTAACAACAAATATTTAATCTTTTTCCAAACCAATATGAAAAACAAGCAATAAAAACAGGAAGATCACCTTATTAAAAAAGTAATAAGTCATTTTATCCTAAAAAAGGACAGCATTTTGTTTATGTTAAAAAGTTAAAATAATTAAAAAAATACTAATTATGTTCTAATATTAAATTTTCAGTATTATTGTTCATACAAATTTTCTACAGTGTGCTGTACACGTATGCAACTTAAGCAACTCAAGATGGCAACAGTAATAAAGAATAAATATATGTTCATGGTAAAAGCTTAATGTTTCAAGTAAATAACATTGTGTACATGAAGAAAAGAAAGAACTTTTCCACATCCAGACAATGTTAACGAGTTAATTTATCTAAAATTGGTTTGAAAAGAGTTTCAATGAAAACAAGTTTACCCACCAACACTAATTGTCCTAATGACACCTTCCTGAAAAACTCCACCCCCACATTTAAAAGTAATTATCTCCAGACCAACTACACATCTTATCCTTTTCTTTAAAACAAATTTATCATAATTCTTTCTTGAAATTCAGAAGCAAACAGATAAGAGTGCTCCATCTAGGTGTGTATGTGTCCTTCACACACTACCAGATAGTTTGTGGCCCTAGTTTCTTGGCATCCTATGTGTAGGTTCATTAATCTGTTCTAAAATTTTGTTTTTAGAGAAATGTAGAGATATTTTGTTAGTTTGCTATTTCCTTAATGATTTATTTAAAACACAGGCTCAAAGACCCCCTCCCCACTAAAAAAAAAACAACCACCCACACACACACCCCACCACCAACAACCACTCAGCATTTTAATTTATATAATATTCAAGCTACAAAACATAAATGATAAGTCATTCAGATATCTTGTTACACTAGGATGTTTAAACGATCCAAATGTGTTAGAATTTAAAGAAGGAAAACTTGCACTACTACCATGTCTAGAGATTTTGGAGCACAAAAGCCTTTCTTTGGAATGGGTATCTTAACCCGACCATTATCCCCTCCCCCAGGCTGTGTTTGTTTATTCAAGATAAAGTTCTGAGCTTACGGCAATTTTACTTATCATAAATTACTTTACACAATTACTCTACAGAATCTACTCTACAAGCACCTGCATAAACTCACTTACAATTTAATAGACTTTACTTGGCTGAATTAGCTGTATTATTAAAATTGGGGGAGATCGATGTATTTGGCATTCTTAATTTATGTGATAAATTAGACAAACATTTTCTGTTATTTGTCTACTGTTTAAAAATATTTTGTAGTTAAGTTGCCTTACCAATTTCATTTATTAAAACTGTCTTTCAAAAGAATCATATGATTCTAGGTCAATTGCCTTTCAGACCCATCTCTGCACGTGTGAACTGAACTTGCCTTATGCACACCTCTTCGCTTTTCATGCTAGTTTCAGCTTTTGATATACATTTCTTGCTAAATACATTGAATGGCATTGGCTTTGATTAATGTGATATAAGCCCTAAAGCATTCTAAAAAATTCTTTAAATAGAACATTAGAACCCTATTTTAAAAGATATCTGATTATATAAGTGATCCTGCTTGCCTGAACATTACCATGAATAAATTTTATAGAGACAAGATGTTCTAACGTCTACTAAACAATGTAAGAAATGGGGCAGATTTTCGCCTTTTACTTAAGAACTGGATTATTTTGGAAGGATATTTTCATGAATATAAATCCTTTTTAGCTACATTTTATATTTGTTCTGTTCTCAAACCCATAATTTCATGTTTGGCATAAAAAAAAAATATTACAATTTTGAGCTTTCTTATTCCAATATTGCTGCATATTTAATGATTGATACAATTTTTTACAGTTACATTTTCTTTTCTATTGCCATTTGGGGATCATGATTTGGTATGTTTCAATACATTCACACATGCTATATAGACTCACGAAAGTATTGTTTACAAAAATAAAGAAACAGGGTTTCTCGTTAGTTTCCCCCAATCCAAAAATCTCTTGGGTAGTTTAAATCATTCCAATGTGTTTTTCTACGTAAGTGGTTTCTCTACATGTTGTGTCCTGTAGACACACGCTCTCCATATGTCGTCTACAATACATGTTATGATCTTCTTGTTCATACTAGTTTTCTAGCATAATCAGTAAACGTTCAGCAAACAAATTTTAGATTGTTGTGGATTGTATCAAACTTATACTAATTTAATTAATATTATCTATACTTAAGTAACTCAATGAAAAAATTAAGCTTCATATTTAGCAAGTTGTAACTTCATATATAAATTAGTTCTGAGAATCTCCGAACAATGTCTTCACTGTATTATCATATCTTTGTTTTGGCTATAAATGCCCAGTTGTGCTATTGTATGAAAACTGTTTCATTTATCTGGAGCCATGAACCAAAAATTTCCAAACTCTACATTAAAGAAAAACACTATACACTTAGAATGTAGAGCAAATGGCTGTAAAATGGGTGAAAGAAAAGACTTTTGGTTTATAGTTCAGCAGCTTTTTAAAAAACATTTGAGGACATTTCTTAACTATAGCTCACTATGCATATTGGCAGGCTTTACTCAGGAGGCACATGGAAACAATCCCCCTTTCTCACACAGCGAAGCAGTTCTCACCTACAGGAATGCCTTGGTTCAGAACTAAAAAGGTAGCCAAATTGTGTTTTAATACAGAAAATTTGAATCCAACAATAATAAGTAAAGGTTAACCATTGTTGTATTTATCTTAAAGTATAATTTATTTTGAAATTATAATTGATGTGAATGAAATTTGTGGTTATATTTCCACAATATTTGCACCCACATTTCTGAATGTTATTCATAATTCTCAATTCTATGAAATTAACATTTCAACAAAATGTAAAATATTAAATCATTGAAATCCTAACATGAAATAAAGTGACAAACTTCAACATTCTATATTGACAACTACTGAAATAGTAAGACATTGTAAACATTTGGAAGAAAGGCATTGTGCAGCTGGTAATTTTATGAATGCACGGATAAATGTTCAGTACTAATCAGTGGAAGGAAAATAAGGTCAGTAACTCATGGCTTGTGAGACCTGTGTATCAGTCACAATTTTAGGGCAAAAATGACTTAAAACTACATTCAAATCACAAGGGTTGCACCATTGGCAGAAAGTCAAAGGAAGAGAAAAGTTAGTAGTCAATTCTTCAACCATACTTTATTAAAAACTACAATAGTATACGTTTATGGGCAAAGTGAAAAAATTGAAGGCACAGAAAATTAATTTTTATTCGAAGAGAAAATTGCTCTTTCCTCTTGACAAATTTGATTGGTGTAGTAGTTCTCACAAACTTTCTGGTTCTGCAGTGAAACTGAATTTGTTCCTAAACGCAACGCAAACTCCATGTACTGAACTTCCCTCACAATGAATATGACAAATTAATTTTTGTGAGGTCTAATAGCATAAAGGAAATAATACCACTGTACAAAAAACACGGAGTGTGATGTCAAATTATGAATCCACAGTTTCAGAAAGAAACTTAAGTAGTATCCCAAATTATTAAAAATAAACCATAAAATGCATATTTGGTTTCAGGTGCATTTTGTAATGCCAAGTACGATGATCCAAACTTGGGTATAAATTTTATTTATTACTGGAAAATACAGTTAGCATTTTTTTCTTGAACTAATGTACCTGAAGTATTTCTAGAACTAAATCTTAACAAATGACAAACAATTTCTGCCCATTTTAAAAATCTGTTAAGTCAACAATCAGTGAATAACAAGACCTATCTTGTGACTACTTGCCACAAAATAATTATTTACTCTATATTTAATTCAATTTTTGCACAAAACAAATAGAAAAATCAAAGTCTACTCCATACATATGCACAATACACTGTGTCAATTTCTTTAAGAAAATTCAAAAGAACTTATTCTGTTATAAAATTGTTTACTATCTAAGGTTGGAAAATACAGAAATATTTCTCTGTAACACCACTTCAAAATACAAAATTGGTCAACACTTGAAAAAAAATCAATAGGAAACAGAAAATTGGTCAATTAAAAATTGTAACACATACGGCTGCAGAAAGGTCCCAGCACAATAATGCAAACAATTTAGACAATTAAGCAATATTAACAAATTGAAATGAAATGAAGGCCTCATTTCCAATAAATAAGTTTTAATAATAATATGAAATACTTATTTTAATTTATATCTTCAGATAAAATAAAAACATATGCCTAAATGTCATTCACCATAAAAAAACAACCCTACAACATAACATTATTAATATTTATATGCAATCATTCTGAAATAAAAAACGAGCATGGAATCATGAGGTCAGTACAACTGCTGTTACCTGTGTGCAATCATCACTTTTAAAGGGCGATTAGCAGATCCAATACACTTTCCATTCATTTCTTCTAATGCAAGAGCTGCTTCAGATGTCTTCGAAAATTTAATATACGTTACACCTAAAAACAAGATGCGTAAATAATAAAGATAGATATTACCTTGTCAACAAATATTGTACTGTTTCTTTCCTCACCTTTCGGTTCTCCAGAAGTCTTGTCTTTAACGACCCATACTTCCTCAATTGTTCCGAACTTTTCAAATGCAGTCCGAAAATCATCTTCTGTGATATTTTTGCTGCACACAATAAATAACCTAGAATTTGGCGGATCATCTAACCGTGGTTTACCGCCTTCAAAATAGTCTCGATCACCAAACCTCTTTCGGTCGGCCATTTTACACAATTGTGGTGGCTTGTGTTACGTTCTACCGCTTTGCGGATCGTCACCTCTTGCACTCTGATACGTATAGTCAGTTGTAGTTCCTACGAGATAAACTCTTAGCTTCTCCTACAGCTTCACACTGAATGAAGCTTATCACGCGTTCATTTATTAAATGCGATGGCTGCGACTCTGGTGCCGATAGTGCGAGAATGCGATAAATCCGCCAAGGACGAAAATATATATTTTACAGTGCTTACCCAAAACCTTCGTTAATTATTAACGAAGACTTTGGCTTAGCCAATTTGTTCTCGGAAATAGAAATATTTATAAAATAAGTTTTTTCTTCACTTTTTGTATCAACTTGGTTTTAGAAAACACAAATGTGATTTCCATTTTTTTGAAGTTTCAAATTCTAGGGGAGACAAAACTCGCATTTGCGCATCTTCGGGAACATCGGCATCGAAATAAAGACTCGTACAAATTTACTAACAAATATATGAAACCAATGCTTTTGTGAAATAAATACAAAAAATCAATATAAAAAATTATAAGAAACCTTAAATTAAATAAAAAAAAAAGTTTTGATATTACTCGCGCAACTTTTCTTGAACGGTGACCTTGCTTCTCCCTCTCTGGCATAATAAACAGTTGAAGGCAAAAACTCGCAGCGAGCACTGATGACATTTCAACACTGTCACTGGCGCAAAATAGAAACTATTTTCTGTTGAAGACAAGAACTTGTCCGCAATTTTCTCCAAAAAAACTAAAGAAATGACCGAAGCAGGTGAAGATTCGTCACAGGGGATACCTCGAACTACTGAGAAAGTTGGAACGCAATTCATTGAGAGAGTTGCGAAGGCATGACTGATTCTCCAGAGATTAGCATTTCTTCCTAAAATCTAGTGGCCGATTTTGTAACTAATACCCCCACTCAACCCGCATTTCTTTAACCCATCCTTCAAGGAAAGTTGCGCGAGTAATATTTGTTGGTAAACACACACTTAGCCCCTTAGCAACCAACCATCTAAACAACGCTTCAATAATAAACTGAAATGCGCACAGATGTACATTTTTTCTACCTTAAGTTGCGAGTTTCACTTTGTGTTCACTATTGTAGATAAATAATTAAAACAGCATATGAAGTACAGGTTTTGAACAATTTCTAAGGAAAGAAATACCTTAAATCTAATGAATATTGTCCTTTAAATTGAATATTGAAATGATGAGGAAGAACGATTATTTCTATACTTTTCATGAATATATCAGGAAAGGTAAGTAATCTAAGTAGTAAATAAGGATATCTAAGAGATAATAAATTTATGTAGTGCTTTTGAACAAATTTCATTCTTTTCTTTCTAGGTCTGTTGGACGCGAAAAATAACATACTTGGGACTCAGAGTTCTTTCCTGCTTTATTGCTGCATTTAATTTCAGAACAGGGAACTCCTTTTGACCAACGCATTCTTATTAATGTGATAAGTGGAAACGTGCATATAATATATTTTCCGATACATGTCAAATGCGCGGTTAAAACTTTAATTGTAGTTCTAAGTGATATTTAATGACTTGCCCTTAAAATCGTAGGAATATATGACCACGAGGTCAAGAAATAACATGAACTTTTAAAAAGTTTTTAACCAGCTTCCAATAAAAACAATTTCACCGACAAATCCGAATACGACTACTGTCAACAGTCAGGTAGCAACTATCCATAGTTATACTTTAACTCCACCAGGATCGTATGCGTACGCATCTCTATACAGAAAAAAGGCTGAGCTGTAATACTGTATTGATACGTATACTGTGATTCTACTCTCTGATCCTTGGCTCAAACTCAGTACGTTTCTTACCATCCCCAATTCTATGTATTGTGGCACAATGGCGAAGTCGCTTGCCTTTCACCACTGAAATTCCAGGTTCGATTCCCGTTAGAATCCCCATAGAATTTCATATGAAATTTGTTACGACAAAACGAGTTTGCAGGCTTCTCAGGTAGTCCTAAACCCTACCCCTAATTCCTTCTCAATTCTGACCGCTGAGTACGCAGGGGCGCGTAGTACGAGACGCTACTTGGCGGTTCTCTTGAAAACGGACTGCGACGAGACGTGACAGATATGACAAGAAATGAATAATTGAAGGATTACTGCCGCGCTGATGTTAATGGAGGATTACTCCGGAAGCGCGAAGCGCTCAACGCCCCACGAGGCTTGGAGACGCGTTGCGTTTACATAAAACATCGTATACTTTATTAACGACATTTGATACTACAAAACTGAGTAGGCTACTGCTCTAAACATATTTTCGGTTCTATCAGTTTCTATTAACTTCTCCTAATTCATTGCCATTGTTGCAATGCACCTCACTTGCCATTGTTTTCAAAACGACTTTAAAATCAATGGCGTCTTGTACCCGAACAAACTAGAGGTTGAATCTCCATTGAATGATGAAAATGTAATTTCCAAAATTCAGAACACTAATATATATATATATATATATATATATATATATATATATATATATATATATATATATATATATACACACACACACACTGAAGAACCAACCAATCCAAATTGGCAACAACTATATAAGACGACCAGTCTGACAGTTGTTAGATCGGTTACTGCTGCTACAATAGCACGTTGTTTAAGTGAGTTTGAACGTGGTGTTATAGTCGACGCACGAGAGATGGGGCATTGCATCTCCGAGGTCGCGATATTTGAATTTTCACGTACGACTATTTCTCGAGTGTACGGTGAATATCGGGAATCGATAAAACATCAAACGTCCGGGATCGCTGCGGCCGCAAAAGGATGTTGCTAGAACGGGACCGACGACGACTGAGGAGAATCATTACACGAGACAGAAGTGCAACCCTTCCGCAAATTGCTGCAGCTTTCAATGCAAGCAATCAACACGTGTCAGGTTGCGAACGATTCAACGAGACATTGTTGATGTTGGGTTTCGTAGCCGTCATAAAGCTTAACGCCCAAGCTTTAAGCACGACACGAATCTTAACGCAATGCCTGGGCCCGTCAATACTGACATTGGAATGTTGATGCCTGGAAAAACGTTTCCTGGTCTCACGTTTCACATTGTTTCGAGCGGATAGATGTGTACGCGTATGGCGACAACCTAGTGAAACCATGGACCCTACATGTCAACGGGACTGTTCAGGTTGGTGGAGACTCTGTGATGGTATGGGGCGTGTGCAGTTGGAGTGATCTGGGACGCCTGATACATCTCCATACGACTCTGACAGGTGATACGTACGTTAACATTCTGTCTGATCACCTGCACCCATTCATGTCCATTGTGCATCCCGATGGACTCTGGCAATTCCAGTACGACAATGCGACAGGCCACACGTCCACAATTGCTACACAGTGGCTCCAGGAACACTTTCTACTGAATACTAATTTCACTGTCCACCCAAATCCCAAGACATGAACATTATTGATCATATCTGGAATGCCTTGCAACGTGCTGTTCATAAGAGAGTTCATCCCCTTGTACACTTACGAGTTTATGGGCAGCCCAGCAGGATTCATGGTGTCAATTACCTCCAGCACTACATCAGACATTAGTCGAGTCCATGCCACATCGTGTTGCGGCACTTCTGTGTGCTCCAGGGGGCCTTACATGATATTAGGCAGGTGTGCTAGTTTTTTTGGCTCTTCACGCGCAAGTTTACTTGATATTCCATTGCGGGGGCTGCGGGGTGCGGAGGGATTTGGCTACGACACGACTGAAAAGGGCGTACTAAAGGGCGACTAAAGGGCGGGCATGAACTGAACTCGCCAAAGCGTGCTACGATTGTTTTGAAAACGAGGTGGTTGTTGCCAGCATTGTAAATTGGTACGGGCCGTTCCGAGTCAACCCTGAAGGCCCATTCACAATGCAAACGTAAATATAAGCATGGCGTTAACATAAAAGTTAGGACTACGTCCATAAGCGGACTCATTCACAATGGGTTCGCATAAGCATAACACGTAAGGCATTAACTTAAAAGCTTGCAAGCTTCAAGATTCTGTGCTTATGCTTACGTAAGACATAAGAAATGAACCAATCAGAACGGTAACTCAAAATCGAGAATCGAAATTGGAGCGAAGTCGATAGAAGAACTAACGCCATATGGGACATAGACACAGTCGATATCTTGAAATCGATTCTCACAGCCAATTGAAACTTATATTGCTTTCGTTTGTTAGGCATTGTGAATACTCCAGTCTATTGCTTATGTTAATGTTTATTTCTATGTGTATGTTTACGTTTGCATTGTGAATGGGTCTCAACATACCATGCTATTTAGCGCTGGATGATGATTAGGGAGCTCGTGTATCAAGAAAACTTGCGCGAGTAATATATAATTCCTCTATACTTATATAATGGCGATATTTTTCAGTTGTAGCTCAAACATGCTACAACCGGCCAGTACCGCCAATGTATGATATATTGCAGTAATGAAGATCTATTACATTCGTATTCGTATTAACTTCAATTCAGAATGGCCACGTTTACACAAATCATCAAATTTAAGTTCTGAATCAACAAACCTAATATCAAATGAAAACAAAATCACCTTATATCATTGAATATCGTCAATAATTGACTCAATTTGTTTACTTTCGAAAAAAAACACACGAAATTTATAAAATTAAGTTGCAAGTAGTCAGGCGAAAACAATATCGTACTACACTCTAGCTGCCTCCGTTGTCACCCATTTGGTTACGTCACCGGTGTGTGTATTGTTCACCCACAGAACAATAAAGGGTTCACACGTGTTAAATCAAAGGGCCAAAGAGTAAATATAGAAAACCCAGTAACAGACCCAAGAACGTGGACAATACCTGGAAGTCACCAAACGCCGGAGAGAGCGCCCTTTGGACGTTCTTTTATTCTAACTGATTTCATAGTATGAAATTAATAGACTACATCAATATTGCTGCATAATCTTGAGTATCGAATGTCATTAAAAGGATTCCTAAGATATTCATGTAAGTTGTTTTTCAATTATCTTTGGGTTGTACAACGTAGGCACCAACTAAAATTGTTAGGTTGGCATAATATGTCAACAAATGAAGTACGCATGCCGAGTAGATTCTCCGTAAGTAAACTGCGGACTGATCTAGCCCAACTAAAAGGCCTGCGAGTTTGAAAATAATATTTTAAGTTGTGGAGGTACTTTACACTAAGCCTCCAGGAGTTTCTCAATTTTTTACAAGCACAGTTCACAATTTCCCACAAAATGGCGAAGGTTCGATTTTCATGAAAACCTTCGAATATTGCAAAAGTTAATTATTTATTTGGTCCTCCCATTTTAAATACAGTAAGTTAGTTAAATACATTTCTTCTGAATGAAATCTGTTGTTCCAAATTGAATGTTTAAAATCAGGTTCAATTATTTAAAGATATGATTAATTATGAATGAAATAGTAACAATTTAAAAAAGAAACTAGAATTTTCAAATTACACAATGTATTTCTTTGAAATATCCTGTTTATATACATACATATATATATATATATATATATGATAATATAGCATATATAATATAATGTGTGTGTATATATAGTATATATATATTATATATATTATATATATAATATATATGCATATATAAATATAAGTGGGTGTATATATATATATATATATATTATATATGCATCACACACAGCAACAAATTTATTTTATTAATTAAATGCTTTTATAAGTAGGAATGTCCTAGTACAATGGGGTTTCTTTGTAATCTGACAATTTTTCTGTATATGTGCTCAATGTATTAAATTTTAACTAAATTTATTTAAATTGTTACCGGATATTATATAATATATATATATATAAATAGTAACAATTTAAATAAATTTAGTTAAAATTTAATTCATTTATAATGGTTGCATAAACACCTTCGTTTTGATCAATCACAAGCTTGTAATTCAGAATCACACGTATTTACAAAGTGGTTTGAAATACTAATAGCAGTATAAACCACAGTGTCATGAAAAAAAATAAATGTAATCAATAAGCATCTCAAGAACAATAATTCATATAGTAACAGATGCACTACGCAGCTGCAGTATTTTGCAGTGAATGGGTGATACACATGATTGTGTATTTACTGTTTATATTAATAATATTTACTTTCTAAGGTTTTATTAAATAAATGCTTTTATAAGTAGGAATGTATAAAATGACCTAGTATAATGAGGTTTCTTGTAATCTCACAATTTTTCTGTATATGTGCTCAAAATTGTGACACCAAAACACTGAAAAACTCATCAAAAATGGCTCCAAATTTTCACATGAGAAATTAATTTGAAATGAGCTTTTAGTTTATAATATTCTTAGACTCATTCATATTAAAAAAGATTCTAGACCATATCTGGTTGGATGGGAAGGGCGATGTGTGTTTAATTGAGATTGAAGTATTCAACAACTTGATATTACATCTTTATTTGCGTTTTTCGATATTTTCAGGGTGCAACTTCCTTATAACGTCTATCATTTTTCAAAAGATCCCATTTCATAGGTGAAAAAGGATGCTTGTTTTCACATGTTGAACTATCAGGTGCTAGAGTATGTATGTGATCTTTGATAAAACATTCTTCCTCAATATAAATATAACAGAAAAGTAAGCTGAACCTTTGTGAATAATCTGTTAATTTACTTAATTTTAATAATTTGATTCATGCAATGAGAGTTTTAGATTTTAAAGTTTAAGCAAGTTTGCTTACTAATAAACAAAACCTGCCTCCTTTTCCTCACCATTTGAACATAGAATGTACTTATATTGTTAAAGTATACGTTACCATAATTGATATCATGTACTATTTTAATATCATTATGATTATTATAATTAATAGCAGTAAAGTGACAATAACAAGTAAATTTTACTTTATATATGAAACTGTACAAATCTTAAATTTTTTGCTACTAAAAGTAATTATTTGGAGCAAGTATTGTACTATCATTTCTAGGCCAATGACCTCATCTTGATCAAATTTTTGTTGAGTTCCCCTGGTCCCTTGAGCAAATGCTGAGATGGCCCCTTATTTCGCTCCTGAACAGTAATATAACTTTGCTCTCTCCACCCAAAGCATCATAGTGACTTGTCATACACGATTGTAATTGTGTACGTGACTCAATAAATATTATTTATATTGTTGCACCAGCAACAAATGGTGTCAAATGTTGAGGTTTATACATTCAACGTTGCAAAGGTGACCATGTTGCCAAAGGTTGCAATGTTCAAATATAGGCCGTGTATATAGCAAATTACATTATAGTTACAAACAAGGACGGAGACTCGTTCATCTTCAGCACATAGTCCTCCTCAAAAGCCAATGATCCAATCTCAAAAACACAGTTTTTTACTGTTGTACAGAAAAAGAAATGATTCAATATCTCAGTTGAATACAATATAAAGAATTAAAATTTATTTTGATTTTCATTAAGTGTAATTGAAAAAAATTTTTTTTTTTATTGTTTTGTCAAGGCATTTTTTTCTTTGCATAAGACATCAATACCCCACTCCTTCCACAACTTCTTGCTGTCTTTGGTCTTCAACAAAACCTCTTACGAGTAAATATTGCAAAAATTACTATTAACTTTACTAGATATCTGAAGAAAAATATTTTTTTTCCCACAATTTTAACATGTCTTGTCATTGCTCTTTACAAGATGTAATTGAAAGGAACTAATTGGCCAAAATAATAGAAAGAAAGGAAAAATCATTGGGAAATGGAATTGTTGAAAAGTAAAACTTCCTGTGAGGATATATTGTTGCAATAAGGAGGGGATTAAAAAAAGGTTCTTTAAACATTTATTTACAAAAAATATATGCAATCACCACATCTATAACAAGTATAAACTTATAAAACTTCCAATCAATTTTTAAAATTATACATTAATATAAACAATTCCTATACTACTATGAATAATGAAATGTATATCACTTCAACTACATACACAAGCCTCATACATATAAAATATTTATAAAATTAGGCCACCTTTATCAAGTGATGTTTCAATATCACCACCTCTACTCAATCTCCAGAGATATTATAAATATTCAATTTGAAATATTAGCAGAGTTGCATGCAACACAAAAATACATTTCTTTTGCACTGGACTTTACATTACAACATACTGCCTCAGAAAAAGAAAAAAAAAAGAAAAAAGGGCAAGTATTTGTTTGGCACTAATGGGAATGGATGTTATTCACATTTATTATGTTTCAAAAGAACAGTCTCGGTTCTTGCACTGATTTTCATTGTATTTGCTTTAGATATCAGTCAACATAATATACTGTAAAAATATGTGCATATGTGCGGTTTATGGCTAGTTCAGATCACAGTTCTGAAAAAAGTTACGCAAAGCCAGCCATATAGCCAGCCAGCCATTCATCCACTTTAACGAATAAGATTCATGAAATAAGCTTTGTTTAAGAAAACCAGAAAAGAATGCACAGTGGACAAATTGTAATATTACACAGCTATCAAGATTAGAATTGTTAGGAAAGAGATAACAAAATATTAAGTGTTGTAATACACAAAACAAAAGCTACAGGACAAAAAATGATGCTTCTGGATATTATAGAAAAGTTCAATTATTTTTCCCAAAGTATATTTTTAAGAGGCTTCAGTTGTTAACTCAATATAAAAATAAAAGTTTTGAAAGGTACGAAATCATAAATTCTTTCCAACAGAAACAAAGAATAACAAGCAGTTAAATAGCCCCAGCGTTTAATACTGTTGCAACATTCATACAATCAAAGAGAAACTGCAAGATGATAATTGAAGGACTGAGCATGCATTAGTAGTCTAACACCCACCAAAATGAAAAAAATATTATTGACATCATTTGTCACCTAAGAAGAACTATCTTTGTACATTATTGGTTTGACCAGTTTTCCTTCATACAGATAAGAATGAAGTCATTTCTTTCCCTTTCTTCACAATGCTTTCTTACATGACTACGAAACTTCAACACAATTTTTGTTTTCTTAAAATGTGGCTTAGATCACTATTGCGCCGACTCCTTCAATTGCTACAGACACAGAGAACATCACAATATAACATCCCAAGTTTCAAGATTTGGTATTACTGTCTTCACTTCCAAATGAGCATTCTAACTCACTAATAAAAACTGAAAATTTACTAGACACTAGCCTCAACTTGTTTCCGAAATATCCTTCAGTCAGCAAATTTCATTCATCAGCAACTCAACATTTGGAACTTTGAGATGATTAGTTATCAACATGTTCAAAAGGAATTATCACCACCATGTTTGAATCGCTCATACTCCTAGAGCTTCAATACTTTAGATTCAAAGCAAGGATTAATTGAAATATTTTGCTTGATCACATATAATTATGATATTGAATCAATATCATATGAAATTCAAAATGCATCACCGAATTACATATACTAGCATGAAAGTAAATGCTAAAGACAGAATGACATAAATGGAGTAGCCTTTGGCTATAGCTGCACCATGCAGAGTCACAGATAAGCAGCATTGTGCAAAAGAGTTTTCAACAAATAAAGTGCAATGTAAAGCACAATGGTTCCTACTATACTAGTCTTCATAACATGAAAAAATCATACACATGCTTTCATTCAATTTTCAAATGACTGAAAAAATACACATTAAAGTTTGCAAGGGGCAAATTAATATCTAACCTGCAAGGGTACTAGATTTGGTATTATTTTCTTCCCTTCCTGTGATTTTTCTAAATTAGAAACGAAGTCTTGAAAAATGACTAAACTTTCACATAAACGTGTATTCTGGGGAGAATGTAGATCTTTCTGGGTAGAAAATGATTCTCTTTTTAGCTCTGTAATTTCATTCAAAAGCAACTCCACATTTGGAACTTTCAGAGGATTAAAATTATCAACATCTTTTGGATCAAAGGGAATGGCAATTTTTCCTGTATCTGCATGAACAGAAAAAGGGCATTTGAGCAAATGGTTGACACTTTTTGAAACATTGGAGTCTAATCGGGGATATAAATATTGAATCATTATTTCTTCGACAATATGCTTATGCACTCTCTTTAAATTCCCTGTGTCTTGCAACTCTTTGATGTACTCCATAAAAGCAAACCACCGATCCCTTGAACATCTGTGTTCGAAGAACTTATCCTGTACTTCTTTTAAGTCTTCATCTTCAATTACATTAAGAAATTTAGCCATTTTCCTTGGAGTTCCTAAAATGTCTTGTTCTTGAATGCAAACAATGATAAAGTATTCACGGATAATATCCAATGCACGTCTAATTGAGTGATGAATGTTCTCTTCCGCAATTTTCACTTTCTTTGGCATGTACACCCCTCCTATCACTAACTGGACGTAATTAATTATTGCACACCGTGCTTCGATCGGTAATATTCGAACCGAATCATCACACACCCAACAGTGAATGCCGCGACGTCCAGAAAATACCCACAAAAGATGTTGGAAGCCAAAATCTTCACGTAATGTGATATCGAGTATTTTACACGCTACGGCCAAGAATTTCCAACATTTTTGACAAACACTGGCGCCTTTACAGCAGTATCGAACATCATCATAATCTGTTATGTCAATATCAAAGACTAGTTCTTTTTCACACGGTGCGAAACCATTAGCGGTCTTTTTCTTCACATCTAAAGTATACAATGCACCAACGTCAATTTTGGCAGGCTTCTCTTCTAAAAGAGCTCTTCGCCATTCCCCACAATCTCTAAAGGATTGGAAACGAGCGACTGCACCTTTCACTAGGGTAAAAGAAAATTCGCGTCTGTCAAAATGACCATGGCCCTTTCCATAATTCAGCCATTTGTATATCAATTCATACGGGAACAGGTTCTGATAATATAAGAAGAGCAGTTTTTCAATTCTTTCTCTTCGACGCCACTGTATAAATTCTCGTTTCAGTGAAGCAGAATTCATCGAACACGAACTTCTTTGTCGCACAATGTTTATAGAGTGACTACGTATTTATAACTTACCGGAAAAGGATTATCACAACGTGAAATTTGTTTCAGCATAATTAAAGTAACTTAAACGGCATCATCTATAGGAGCAGTCAAGTTTTGGTCACGGTTCACGATGTTTCACCTTTCAAATTCAAACTAGATACGTATACGGTGCGACGCTCGGTCTTCATATGTTTTAAGGCAAAGTTCAAAGATTTTCAAGATTGTCGAAATGTGAATCGTCTTGAAGGAAGTCGTTCGCCATTCGTTCATGAGTGGTTTGATTCGAATCAAACACGCTGAAGGAGAATATGGATAAACTCAGTTTAAGACAATTCTCTTTTGCCGTTGTGGTAGATATGAAGACATTTCTTGTAACACATTTCTCACAACGTATCTTACAGTGTAATCTACGGTGTAAGAGAATTTTCTTACATCGTGATAGTGATGTAGTCTGTAGTATATATATATATATACTATATATATATATATATATATATATAATATATAATATATATTCATATATATTCATATATATTGATATTATATAGAGATATTGATTGAAAATGTGCCAGGAGCGAGTTTTTTACGCTATTTTTTTGTATAACAACATTATACATTTATAAGAGAATCAAACTTCATATTGCGAAACAATTTCTTCTGATGTCTCGAGTATTTTTTCACTCCTCTACTTTAAAAAATACAAATCATTGTTAAGAAAAGTCATAAAGCAGGCTAAAATCATGAAACATGGTCAGGATATTTTGAACTCAAATAATAAAATCAAATCAGTGAAGAGTATAGTAAAAAAAAATCGATCAAATCATCTAGAAACCTTGTACAGAATGTTGTTTTAAAAGATGATAGAAATGTGAATGATCCGGCAACAGTGGCTAGTCTCTTTAACCAATACGTTTCGAGAATTGCTACCTATTTCACTAAGGGTCTTCAGACACAAAATTCGGAATAAGACGTTTCCCCAAAAATGTTAGACATAATGTATGTTTCCGAAACTTCTTCCAATGAAATTCTCGAAATAATCGGTAGACTAAAAAATAAATATTCGACCGGTTTAGATGAATTTCCATATTTTTTGTTAAAGGCTTGTGCACTCGCCATTATATACCTATTAACTCACATATTTAATGTATCCTTACGCAAAGGAATTTTTCCAAATATTTTTTTATTTATTTAGCTAAGATTAAGCTGCTTTTCAAACAAGGTAATAAAAATGAAATTCAAAATAATAAGCCAATTTTTCTTTTTTCGTTTTTTCAAAAATATTAGTGATACTTTTTTACGTACGAATGGAAACCTTTCTCAATAAACGTCATATTTTTAGATTGCCAACATTAGTTTCGAAAATCACAATCTACGGAAACAGCCATATCTTCTTTTCTTAAAGATGGTGCCTCATCCATGGACCAAAATGAAGTACCTATTGGAATACTTTAGATCATTTGAATGTTTTTTGACTAAATAAATCTAAATCTAAACATTTTACTTTCAAAATTACTTTCAAATGGAGTTCGTGGTATTGCTCTAGATTGGTTGTGTTCGTACCTTAAACCGACCAACCATCCAAAGTTTTCTTGACTGATGACGTTTGGTAACAAAAGAAGTCAAACCCCAACCTCCACACCCAAGCAAACCTTAACCCTTTCAACCCTCTCTCCCAATTGGACTCCCAGCAATCCTACTCCGGATCCCCTGAAGAACTAAACACAACTAATGAACCATTACCTAACCAATCATCCTCCCAACAAATGACGAATCCAAAACCAAACAACAAAGGACGAATCGGACTTTTCAGAATTGACTTGACAATCCTTGATCCAACAGAACTGAGCAAGGAATTGAAGGCTGACTGTAATAACCACCTGACAGCAAAGTGTACTCGGACAGAATTGGTAATTCAACCAATGACTTGACTGTCCTCGGGAAGATAAGAGACCGCCTGGACCAGACCTCTAGAGACCCCAAACTAAAAGAAAGAACGATTCTTCACCACGATTTCTTACCACTTTAACCGAGCCACAGACGAACAAAGAGACAAATTTGTAATCAAATGACTCCCGGCCAAATACGACTTGAAAGCCATCAAAAACAACTTGACCGCCCTTACAATGACTTCACACCACATCACTGAGATGCAACAACGAGACGCCGACGGGACATTGACACCAATAGGCCTGTACACAGTGGAGACCAACAAAAAAGAAATGACAGACATCAAGAAAGTACTAAGATACATTGATTACTTTAGAGTGACCATTAAAGACTACAAGATGACAGATAGAATACCCCAGTGCAGAAATTGCCAAAGACTGTATCATACGAAGGCCTATTGCAGGAGACAAGTGATATGCGTACTTTGCGCTGGTTCCCACCCAAGTGAATACTGTGCCCTCTCATACATCTGGCAAACCATTCACTCGAAAATGCATCAACTGCTCCCTAAACCACACTAGCTACGACCCACAGTGCCCCTTCACAGTGAAAGCCAGATAACAACGACGAGCACAGATGACCAAATCATTAAGCCATCCACACCCAACCAACTCACTCCAAAACGTTCCCCACCTAAGACCCCCAAAACAAACTTACACCTCTGCCACCAACTCAAGTCAAACCAAACTACCCAACAACGAACTACCCAATCAACTACTCAAGATATAAAACTTCTCTCTTCTTCAAAATCCCACTGTCAAAAAGATAATCCTCAACCTAAAACCCCTCCTCGAAATCCTCAATGGCCCAGAGGACATCATCACTAAACTAATTACAGCAGGTATCAAATTAGTTGAAATCCTCATCTAATGGCTCCCCCTCCCAAAATTTCAACCCTATCCTCGTGGAACGCGCGAGGTGGCATAAACCAGAAAAAAACCACCCTTACCCAATTCCTTAGAGATTACTCCATCGGGATACTATTCTTACAAGAGACGTGGCTGACACCCGACAGATCCTTTTCCATCCCTAACTACACCACAACAAGAACCGACCGAACCTCATCCGCTGAAGGCGGAACGGCAATCCACATCCGACGATCCATCCCATACCAACTTCCTCCAACATCCGTCCTAGAATGCACTGCAGTCTCTACTGGAACCTCCACATCTCAAATACTTCAGATATCCTGTTACAAGGCTCCGCACACACCGATCCCTGACTCCGACCTAGACACCCTTAAAAACCTTCCTTACCCTTTCATTATCGCAGCCGACCTCGACAGTAAATCGACCTCATGAGGCTGCATAACTGATGCATGACAAAAGCAGCCCCAATAATATCAACAAAGTCATGAAAGGAATCAGGAACCATCCCACTCCCATTTCCCCTATCCTAACCACTAACAATACCTTAACCTTTGACCCCCAAACCATCACCAATATCTTTGCTCAATCCTTGGCCGTACGCTTCCTCCCCCCCCCAACATCCCAATCCCAGACAGCGTTCTTTGGAGTTTCCTTGAAACGCCACCTCTACCATCCGACCAACAACAGTCCTAGACGACGAACAGTTACTCAAGACGATAGACTGCAACAAATCGCCCGGACCCGATGGAGCCCTCCCATCTCAACTCATCCGCCTAACAAAATATGCAATAGACCTGATTACCCTAATCCTCAACTCCTGCCTAAGACTTTCCTATTTCCCCACCATCGGGAAGATCGCTCGCGTTACCATGATTCCCAAACCTGGCAAGGATCATCGGTTCCCATCTAAACACCGTCCCCTCAGCCTACTACCATCCTTGGTAAATTATTCGAAAAGAAACTTCGTCTAACACCTCTCCTATATCCAATCATAACCTCCACACAATTTGGTTTCCGTGAAGGTCGCTCGGCAGCCCTCCAAACCTTAAACCTTTCCCTAGCCATCACTCTACTGCAAGATAGAAAATAAATGCCTGCCATTTTCACAGACCTCACCCAAGCGTACGACATCGTCTCCCATCCAATCCTTCTCATGAAAATTCGACCCTATATCCCCGATCATATTTACACCCTACTACAAAGCTACTTGAATCATCGCTCCTTCCACATCTGACACCTATCAAAACCCTCTCCTAACTACTCAATCCAAGCCGGCGTCCCACAGGGGGTGTGCTATCTCCAATATTTTTTTTCCATTTATATAAATGACGTTCCACCAACACCAGGAGTACAAACTTTCCTTTACGCCGATGACCTTGCCTTCCTAGCTTCCTTCCGCTCCCTAAACCGATCCTTATCCTACCTCCAAGAATCCCTAAACAACTTCTACCTCTGGGCTTCCCAAAACTCCATCATCATAAACCCATCCAAATCCCAAGCAATCCTATTCTCCTATAAAACATATCCATTCAACCCCCCTCCGATAACCATTGGAAACGAACCAATCCCCTGGACACCAGAAATATCCTACCTTGGCATAACCTTCTCCAGCAGACTCCTTTGGTCCCACCACATCCACAAAATTACCGTCAAAGCAACCAGGATCACCACTACTTTATATCCCATCCTCACTAATCCCCACATCCAACCAAGAAGAAAATCCTAACTTACATCTCGTATATCCGTCCCATCCTAAACATATGTCCGCTTCGTTCGCTACATCTCACACCAACCGCACCAAAATAACTCGCGTTGAAAACCACAACATCCGCCTCATCTTCCGCCTACCCATGTACACCATTTACAACTCCATACGACACCAAAACAAAATACCCACATCCTCACACACCTCCACAACTCCGCAATAGCCCAAATCCAAAAATACATCAACAGCCCCCTATTCCGAAACCTAATCCTTCCTCACCACCACATCCTCAGAAACCTACCCCGATACACCCGGAAAAAGCATCCCTTAGACATCCTCCAACTTCCCCCTACCAGAGGGCAAAAACAAACGACAAATTAAACCGACAACGAATTGACAGAATGACTGTACACGCTGTACATATCGTCGACAACAAAACTCCACCGCCTCCTCTGAGTATTCGTAAATCATTGTCCACCTTTTAGTTTACGCTCAGCTGCTCTAACCCCCTAAGCTACCGAGATAACCAATCCTTTGAACAGTTTTCACGAGCGCGATTATCACTCCTTGTGTATATTATATATAATTGCCACCATTCCGTCACCTTGTTGGACGCAATTACGTTCGGAGGATATATTGCGCAGTCGCAATTTAATTATTAAAATGCTTTTTTACTCAGTAACGAGGTCACAATTTGGATTCCTTTTCTTCCCACCGAACACGATAAGAAAAGATGGGTGACGCCAAAGGGAAGGGCGAGGAAGGGGCGCACAGAGTAAACAATCCTGAACAGTGTGGTTTCTAAAAAGGTTTTTGATAAAACAATTTTATACAAAATAACATCATGTACAACAAGCATTACAAAATACACGTTTTGTAATGCCTATTTTACAATACAATTTTACAGGAAATATGTAGTGTACAACAGACATTATGAAATGTTTTATGACACTTTTATACAGCAATTTTACAGAAAATATCGCCGTGAACAACAGACATTACAAAATAAATTATTGTATGAAATGTTTAATACAATAATTTTATACAAAATATCACCGTGTGTAACAGATATGACAAAATGTATGTTTTATAAAACGTTTTATACAACCATTTTGCAAACAATTTGTACTGTGTACAATGAGAAATTACGAAATGTATGTTTCATGAAACGTTTTATACCCAAGTTTTACGAAACAAACAAATAAATTATTGTATAAAACATTTCATACAATAATTTTATACAAAATACCACCGTTTTCAACAAATATGACAAAATGCATGTTTTATGAGACGTTTTATACAACCATTTTACAAACAATTAGTCTGGTAATCGAACATTACGAAATGTACGTTTCATAAATCGTTTTGTACCACAATTTTACAGAAAATATTACGGTTTACAACAAACATGACAAAAAGTACCTTTTATCAATCCTTTTAAACAACAATTTTACAGAAAATATAGCGCGCCAGGAAAGTCTCTTCGCAATGGAACCTTGCTGGTGAGAGTACTTGCAATAAGTATTTAGGTTGGTAACACGAGCTGCAGCGTGTAATATTACTCGCGCAACTTTTCTTGAACGATAACCTTGCTTCCCCCTCTCTGGTCCAATAAACAGATGAAGGTGAAAGCTCGCAGCGAGCACTGATGAGAACATTCCAAACACATCTTCACGGGCACAAAATTGAAACAATTTTCATTTGAAAACGAGAACATCTATCTGTTGTTTTCTCAAAAAAAAAAAAAAAAATAAAAAAAAAAAATAAAGAAATGACCAAAGCAGGTAAAGATCTATCACAGGATATACCTCTAACTCCTTAAAAAGTTAGAACGCAAATTATCGAGAACGTTGCGAAGGCATGACAGATCTCCAGAGATTGGCATTGCTTCATACAATCTAGTGGCCGATTCAGTAACTAATACCCCCACTCTACCAGCATTTCTGCAATCCATCGTTCAAGAAAAATTGCGCGCGTAATACCAGAAAACGTAAATTGTGTCCTAAGCACAATCATAACATTTGCTGGAAGTGTTGTTCCCTTTACTTGTTTCCCAATAATCTGTTTGCCACCAACACAAATGTAATTTTTAGTAAGAGGCCTTGATTCGGCTCAGTGCGGAGAGACATTCCTGGCGGACTGTATCACCGTGAACAACTGGCTTTACAAAATGGCGACCATTGCCGGGTTAAGAAAAGTGCACGAGGCACAGCGGAGGACGGTGGGTTCAATAGTTGGCGCAGACAAATTCAGGCACGGAATCATATGGTGAAATTGAAAACCAATGACCTTTGGTTTACTGATAAACTTGTAGGCGACACTCCAAATAAAATAATTACATTTGATATTTTTCTACTTTTAGGATAACTTACCCGCGAAAACTGCACTTTCAATAAACATCTTATATATGCATTGAAATACTGGATCTGCGACACAAAAGGTCACAGAGCACCCACTGTCTTATGCCCGCAACATGCCTTCACAAGAGGAGGCCAGGCCAGCGAGAGCCTCGGGGCCAAACCTGCGCCAAAGCCGGACGGAAGGAAACTACTCTTTTCTCATTGGTTGAACGTAACGTTGTCATGGCAACAGGGGAGGCGCGCGTCAGCTTGGGCTGCCAGTTTCCTGGAGACTTAAGCAGTGCTTGCAATGGTCATTATAATGAGCACAGAGCTTATTAATACTTGGTAGTGCTACTGATGTGTAACGCATAGAACAGCTTGGTCCCATTTTAAATTGTAACACTATGATTGCATATGTTAATTCTAACAATTTTTAATAATTAAATTTTTTCAAAGAATTGATTGCCCCGACTGGAACTCTAGCCCGGAGCTTCTGGTTTACACCCAGCTGCTCTAACCGCCAAGCTACCGAGAAAATCAATCATTTGAACAGTTTTCATGAGCACGATTATCGCTCCCTGTATATACATATATACATATATACATATATACATATATACATATATACATATATACATATATACATATATACATATATACACTAATACATATATACACTAATACATACATACACTAATACATATATACACTAATACATACATACACTAATACATATATACTTTTATACGTATATACACATATGTGTATAAATCATTTTTAAGTCTAAAAACATGTATCTTTAAGTGTTGTTAATCGATTTTATGGGAAGGCGTGGCCTCCGTTGCCTCGTGAGTGGGCGTGGGCGTGGGCGTGGGCGTGCGCGTGGGCGGGGCGAGGTCGCGCGCGACGATCTCGCGCAGGTCGCGTGTGATGCGCCGCCGGAAGGCCGCGTCGTCGGCGAAGGCGCGCGTGACGAGCGCCACGCGGTCGCGCACCAGGTGGCGGCGGCGGCCGTGGCGCGCCAGCGACGCGCGCAGCGCCACCTGCGGCAGCAGGTTGTTCGAGTGGAAGACGGCGGCGGCGAGGCGGCCCAGCGGCGCGTACTCCGCGCACGACGCCGCGAACGCCTCGCGCGACAGCAGCGCCTCCGCGCGCAGCCCGGCGGCCGACAGCCGCGCGCGCAGCGACGTGTAGTACCTGCGCGTGCAGACGCGTTAACGACGCGCATTGACAACGCGTGCTCATTGCTAGGACAAATTCTCCTAGTACAACATAAGCTTGTGCGGGCAACAAGCTATAATATACTACATAGAGTGGCTGTCGCTATAGTGTCAGCGCTCTTGGTGGAGGCTCGCCGAACTAGTGGCCGCCATGTTTTTTGAAGTCAAAACATACGAGGGGCGGGTAACCAGAGTGTAACCGTCCGTAACCACCACCAAACGTAATGCTAGAATATTACTCGCGCATCTTTTCTTGAACGATGGATTGAAGAAATGCGGGTAGAGTGGGAGTATTAGTCACGAAATCGGCCACTAGATTTTAGGAAAAATTCCAATCTCTGGAGAATCACTCATGCCCTCGGAACTTTCTCAATAATTTGCGTTCTAACTTTCTTAGAAGTTCTAGGTATCTATTGTGCCTGATATTCATCTTGACCTGCTTCTGTCCTTTCTTTAGATTTTTGGGAGAAAATCACGGGCAGAAGTTTTTATCAACGGAAAATTGTTTATATTTCGCGCCATTGAAGATGTGTTTATAATGTTATCATCACTGCACGCTGCGAGCTTTTGTCTTCAACTGTTTATTGTGTCAGAGAGGGGGAAACAAGGTCATCGTTCAAGAAAAGTTGAGCGAGTAATACTTTGTATCCCAGAGAGCGGTGCTTTGACTAAAAAATGGCTTCAAATTGCTTAAAAGATGGAGATCCTTCAGTCATTCTATGTAGTATATCGTAGCTCGTTGGTACGTGTATACAGTCAATTGCATTGGACGTGATCTTGTCTGTCCGGGTGACGCCGCGACGAAGGCTGTGTTGCCTACGTTTCGACCATCCAGTCGTGGTCTTCCTCAGGGTTGGTATGTCATAACGTATGGTCGAAACGTAGGCAACACAGCCTTCAACGCGACGTCACTCGGACAGCCAAGATCACGCACATGACTCTAGCCGCGGAAGCTTACGACTTCATTTAGTCAATTAGATTTACACATGCACAACTACACATGCACACACAAAAAAGTGAGACCGAAATACTTGACACATGTTTTCTACGTATGTCGACGCGCTGAGTCCGAGTCTGAAGCCAGAATTCCGCCAACACCCTCAAGAATTATGATTTAAATCTCGAAAAACCACCGAGAAATTATAGGTTGTACATTTCACAATGGAATTTTGTACGATTTAAAAAAAGTGGAGAGTGGTGGCGCAATTCTGAGTACAGAAGGTGTAGGGTACCTGTCGCGGAGTTCGTCCCCGCGCTCGGCCAGCAGCGCGTGGCCGGCGCACGTGCACAGCAGCATCTCCACGTCCTGCGCGGGCGGCGCGTAGCGCGGTGTCTGGAAGTCCAGCAGGCGCACGGCCGGCCCGTCCGCGCGCACCATCAGGTTGCTGATCCACAGGTCGCCGTGGCACGCCACGTTGCGGAAGCGCCGCGACGGCCCCACCAGCCGCCGCCCGATGGCCTTGAGCGCCTCCGGCAGCCGCGTGCTCGCCCAGCGCAGCTCCGGCACCAGCGCCGCCACCGCCGCCAGCGCCTCCACGCTGCGCGAGAAGAACGTGGACAGCTCGTCCCCTGCAAACCGCACGGGAGGCACTTAGCCCTTTGACATCTGCCTCCAGCCCCAACCGCGTTCACGCTGCGCGAGAAGTACGTAGACAGCTCTTCCCCTGCAAACCGCAAGGGAGGCACTTAGACCTTTGACATCTGCCTCCAGCCCCAACCGCGTTGACGGTGCACGAGAAGTACGTGGACAGCTCGTCCCCTACAAACCCCACGGGAGGCAATTAGCCCATTGACATCTGCCTCCAGCATCAAGCGCGCTAACGCTGCGCGAGAAGTACGTGGACAGCTCGTCCCCTGCAAACCCCACGGGAGGCACTTAGACCTTTCACATCTACCTCCAGCCCCAACCGCGCTAACGCTGCGCGAGAAGTACGTGGACAGCTCGTCCCCTGCAAACCCTTGGGATGCACTTAGCTCTTTGACATCTGCCACCAGCCTCAACCGCGCCTCCACGCGGCGCGAGAAATACGTGGACAGGTCGCCCACTGCAAACCACATGGGCGGTAGTTAGACCTTGGACACCTAACTCCAGCCTGGATCCACGCACGAGTAGCGACACTGCGAGTAGTACGTAGATAGCAATCTCTCTGCAAACAACGCGAGCTTTTTGACCTCTGCTTGTATTTTTTTCTATTTTATTCTGGTACTGGTGCTTCAATGCTATTTTCATTTAGGTTAAACTAATTTTACTTTGTACGAGTCGTAAATTGATGAATGTCAACGGAGAACGAAATACTGGAGACATAATTTAGTGAGCATTTAAAATTTCCAGAATTTACTGAAAGCGCTGCTAACAAGCGACCTCGTACATCACGCGACCGAAGGCAACCGACGCTCGCCTGGTGGCTTCCGAGATTCACAACAACGGCGAGCGCGGCCAGTGTCTTCCCAATCTTTCTCCGAGCGCACGACACGTGTAACTCCGACCTGCGTTTCGCAGAACGTACAGGTCTTGTCACGGGTCATGGTAGTTTCTTAGCCTTATCACCCTCATAACAAGAAACTAGAGATGGTCGGGTCAATTAAATCAATTAATTTCCCGTTCTAGTGAGATTTGTTTCCAATAGAAACTAGTCTACCGCGAAAGGAGCCAATTAAATTTTATAGTGAAGCCCCAGCTATCTAGTAAATTGGACTGAGTTTCTAACTCAATATCTGACATACGTCTCTGAGACTCGTAAGACTGAGGAGCAGATTCATTTCTTGGCAGATGGACGGTCTAGGCGCGCGCAATCGACGCCTGCCACGTACCGAGTCGGTCGTCGAAGAACGTGGGGCGCAGCAGGTGCGGGAAGCGAGCGTTGAGCGGGACGCCACCGCGCTCCTCCAGCGCCAAGGAGCCGGCGTGGAAGGCGGCGAGGGCGTCCAGCGCCGCCGCGCACTCCTCGAAGCCCAGCAGGTGGTGGTTGCCGTGCGACCGGAAGCCGTCCGCCGTCAGGTCCTCGAGCAGCAGCAGGTCCGGCCGCGCCACGAGGCAGCGCGGCGCCCACGCCGCCGCGGGGGACGACGCCGACAGCGGCGCGGGGGCGGGGCTGTCCACGAGGGTGCGGTTGTGGGTAGGAGTGTGCTTCTCATTGGGGGTGTGGCTGAGTTTCGACTGATGGACGTCTTCGGACCGCTCATTTCCGTTGGGGGCGTGGTTACTTTTACGACTGTGGATGTCCCGTGGACAGCACCTAATTTCAGGTGTGTGGCTACAGTTTGGAACGCGTGTGTCGTCGTGGGCGGGCACGTCTTCTCGGCCTGGACTGACCGCGGAAGCGAGATTTTCGTCGGGGGTGTTGGAACCCTTTGTCCCGCAGATGCCAGTGGTGGCGTGTCGGTGGGCGCAGTCGCCGTTGCCGCTGGGCAACGGAGCGCCCGCGCGCAGGGCGGCCTCCATCAGCGGGAAAAGCTGCCCGAAGACGACGGCCTCCACGCGCGCCATGTCGGCGGCGAAGGGCGACGCTTCGCCGCGGGGCGGGCGCTTGGCGTAGAGCGCCACCTGCCTGGCGAGCGCGTCCCGGCCCCCGCGCACCGCCACGCGCAGCGCCACGCCCTCGCCCACGAAGCCCAGCACCTGCGCACGCCAACGGACATTCACGGATTGTAGCAGTAACATAAATAAATGAAGAATAAATTGCTTTTTTTAAGCCATCGACACCTGCGTTGACTGTCAAGTAATAGGTTAACGTTAGTTGTATTAACACAATTATTATTAGACATTTTCTGGCGGTTCGTAATTTAGCACATATTATATACATGTTGCACCTGAAGATTTGCACGTGTTATATTCCGGGAGGTAGCAATATGGACCGCGAGATACGACACCGATGTTCACTCGTCTTGCAGGGTTTTCCTCCTCAGGCGTCTTTCTCTATCGGGGCACGTCCCTAGCCGGGTCAAGTTCTAAGCTTCCGATTGCTTTACCGATCAATGTGGAGTGTGTTGTAGTGCATCTAAATGGGTGTGTGTTAAGGGAGAGGAGGAGGAGAAGAAAGGGACAACGATGATGAAAGAAAGATCGCGCATTGGCGTTCGTCCGATTGTTAGGATACTACTCCGGCATCCACCTGGTAATGATCGGAGAAACCACGGAAATCTACTGTTCAGAGCAGTCCGGAGCTAGAATTGATCCCCAGACAGCGTATGAATTTCTCCTAGCTATCTACTAAGTGTCGAAAACCCATCACCTTTGCAACTCGAAAAGTAGGACTTTTCGGTCAGACATTTCGATCGGTATACTGGACAGACAACGGACATGCTGCCTCTGCCCCATGTCATCTACTGCGAGAAGTAACTTCAAATATTTTGAACCAAAAATTTTCAGTGACCGAGAGCAAAACGTAACCCGGGACGCTCGCGATTCAAAAGGTCCCTCCAGATTAGTTTTGGCATAATTTGGCACGATGCAACCCTCTACGCACGTAGGTATTAAGGGATTTCGGAGCAGCTGTCCGGGAAGGGCAATACCGGGGCGGGGCGAAGCAGAGTGAAAGTGGATGGGTTAAAAAAGCGGCTAGTCCCATTTCCGGTGAACTATGTATAATAGAAAATTGTAAAAAAATTAACTTTGCAGAACTAAAAATTTGAAGAGATGATTTTTGTCACGTCAACAGGTGTTTTCAAAGTTAGTTTTAACATTATTTTCGTGTCTAGCCCAGTGCTCTAAGACACAGTTAAACAGTTCAACCTATTCCACATTATTTCCCAAATATATCTTCACTTATCGTTGACCTGTGACAAAATCGGTCTCTCATAAATTATCGTATTTTCTTAGCATATGATATAAATATACAAATTATAATGAAGAACTTTAAAACATGATAATTTGTAACTAAATTCTCAAGTAAAGATATTACTGGGTGCTACAACAATGTATACAAATGTATAATAAATACTAAAATAAATGTACAGTACTGTTGCAGTCATTTTCAAAGTATATTTAAAATGAAGGTGATTTAAAGGCGGGAAAATGTAAAAATTGTTCTTATTTTTTAACTACTGCCCAGCAGTCGAAAAAACCGCATAAATTAAAAATTTGGATTTTGAGAGAAACTTTTGAGATTTCTTCGAGCCTAGTCCAGAGTTTTAAGACAGAACAATTTGTCAAAAATATTTTTTGCGTTTGAATGTACCACTAAGACAATATCAAAAAATATTTCTCTAATAAACTACAATATTTTCTCCTTTTTCGTATTTTCTTTCAGTAAGACATAATAGTTTAGTTGACGAAAAAAATAAAATTAAAAATACGTCTTTGCCTGTAGGGGTGTGTGGGTGTCAGGGAAATTTTTTTTGTTACAGTCATAGTGTACCAACTCATATCTTATTTGGTTTAAGGCTAAATGTCCCGACACTAGTACAATTTGTAGCCACCACGTGGCAGCACCAAAATAAATAAAATTTACTTTACCGATAACGTCTGAACCAATGGTCCGATTTTCGATTTGTAAACGGCATTAGACGAATTTTTAAAAGAGAATTTACGGTATGATAACCTTATTCCAAAAATCTAGCAAAAATGCGAATTTGAAATTAGTTCTGAAACTTCCGAGAACAAATTTAAAAATGTGACCTTATAACGCGATGGCGACATGCTTCCTGAATCCAACGCCGTGACAATCATGCAACTCGGCCGAATAGGAGCGTCGTAAAGTGAAATTCACGAAAACACCTCGCCTCCCCACTTCTTCTGCGCCGTTGCGTCACCCACCCGCCCGTTGTGGGCCCTCTGTCAGCACGGTGCCACGGCCAGGCCCTGCGGTTAAAGCGGTGCTACGGGTTCGTAGGCTTCCGCGGCCGGAGTCAATGTATTCTTGGCTATCCGGTTAGCACGAAGACTTTTATAAAATTGTTCAAACCCTTGAATGTCACATGCTTTACCAGTTATAGAACAATCATAACGTCATGAGAAACATTTATAATTCATATAAATATTATTTAAAAATCATACCTACAATTTACCAAAACTGATGTATTTTCAAACCAAAAAACAATATTCACTTCAGCGATTGAATAATGCTATTGAGAAATTTCTCTCTACCGCTTATTACTGTTATCCTCAGTATGGTCTTCAGAAGAAACGTAAGCTGGGTGCGTTGTAAAATACTGAATAACATTATTGCCCTCGCGGTTTAGCTTATGATCAGCGTTCTCGCAGTCAGACGCGACCCGCGTTCGATTCGCCGGGTCGTTTCCGGTCGTTAAGATTATGTGGCGTTGTCCTGGCAAAGTCCAATGTTTCTGGTGTGGCGGTAGAAAACTCACTTCCAGAGTGAGAAACACAATTAAGGCATGGGAAAATCTTCGTCTAACCACACGTACCCCTTAAACTATGGTCGGATGCTGTGCGCTGCTGTAG